CGAGCGAGCGAAAAAAAATTTCAGTCTTTGGGACATTAGACTGAATTTCACCCCTGCCGAAAGTGCTCAGCTGACTGCTCAGCTGACTGGCAGCCAACAGAGCCCCAGGCAGAATTGCGCCCTGCGAGGGGGCCACCTCCAGCACTCCTCTGCCACCTCCCTTGCCTCTTAGCACCCTCCTGCTGCCCCCTTGCCTCTTAGCACCCCCCTGCTGCCCCCCTTGCCTCTTAGTACCCCCCTGCTGCCCCCCTTGCCTCTTAGCGCCCCCTTAGGTCATCCCACCACCATCCCGGGGTGGTACCGCCTACTTTGGGAATCACTGCACTAGAATATAAACTGAGAGCAAACCTCACTCCTTATTAGCACTGATGATGTTACCTAGTTTGGGCAATGAAATGTCTGCAAGGAAACAACGAAAGTCAGAGAGTACAAAGGACCCCTCATTTCAACCCTGAGCTACAAATATTCTCTTTTATAAATTATGCCTTTCAATTATTAGGAACCTGGTGTAATTATAATTAAAAATAATCATTAGCAGCATGTCATATAAAATAAAAAATAAAGACAACAGAGGTATAATAAATTGTAAGAGTCAAATCACAATGACAATACATCATTTAGTTTCTAAAGCCCAAATTAGGAAACAATATTTTACTCACTATCTGAAATATAGTAAGGATCAAGTGGCATTTCTCAAAAATCTAATTGATTCTCACCTTTCTGATCAATTGATGTTATAATCATGTAGAATATTGTAAATGGTGGTTTTAAATGTTACTTGTGTTTATTTTACTGCTTTATATTACTGTTTTTAATTCACTTGTCAGCTGTTTCCAGGGCTTCTAAAGCAGACAAGGCATGTAACATTTTTGAACAGAAATACATTATGCATGACATTATCCCTATCTCTCCCACTTACTTTTATCATTTTTTTTCAAAACAGGAGCATTTGAATTTTCAAACTTGTCAATTCATCATTTGATTACTAAACCAGGAGAAAATGTCACTTTTAAATATCCGTTTAATTCTGATGTAGCAGTGAATCAAATGACATGGGAAAGAGTGCAACCCGACTGTATAGATCTTATAATCCAGTGTGCGGATTCTGAAATGCCAATCTATGGTTCGGATTATCAAAACCGTGTAGACTGTATCTCCGAAAGTTCATTTGTACTTTTGGATGTCACAGCTTCTGACTATGGAATGTATCGCTTTTCTTACGACAAGGTGAATGGAGAAAATGGAACTGGCTGGATAAAACTGTCCTCTAATAACTTTGGTAAGTTAAAGGAAAGCATATAACGATGATAATGATGGTGATGAGTCACATAGCCAGCCAGATGTTTGGTCTGGATTTGGCATTTTTGTCCATCTGTCGAGTCTTTCCCAATGTCCTGAGACAGGAGATGTTGTCATTTAATAATTTTAAAAGTATTGTTGCAGGATGTAAACTGTTCCTAGTAAAGCTGCATTTTGCAATTGACTGATTCTGATTTTGTCAATTTCTGATGGTGTTCAAGTAGATGTTTTGGAATTGCACCCGAGGAACCTATTACTATTGGTCCTATCTTTGGTTTCATTTGCTACAGTCATTCTATCTGCAGGTCTTTATATATTTTGTGATTTTTTCTCCTGTTCTCTCTCTTCTATGCTGCTGTCTCCAAACATAGAAATGTCTATTAACCAGATTTTTTAATATTCCTTATCAACAGTTAAGTCTGGAGTGTTGTGTGGCATGCAATTGTTTGAATTCTAAAGTCCCAGAGCCCTTTAGCTGCTTCATGTTCTTATTACTTTGTCTCTTTTGTAGTCCTACCAGTTCTTGCTTTTGGGCAAGTGGTATTTCTTGCAGATCTTCCAATGCACCATTGTTGCTACTTTGTCATGCCGTTGTTTGTAGTCAGTCTGTGTGATCTTCTTGCAGCAACTAACTAGGTGATCCACTTTTTCTTCAGCTTCTTTGCAGAGGTGGCATTTGCTGTCTATAGCTGTCTTTTCAGTTCTGGCATTGTAGGTGTCTGTTCTTGTGGCTTGGTCTTGTGCAGCCATTTAGTTTGACACTTCTCACCTTTGCAATATTTATTTCTTAACAACATTTCACCTTTGCAACATTTCCTTTCCTGCCTACTTTTTAACCATTCAGTCGAAGATAATGTGTTCAACCTTTTTCATGCCCTTTCGTTTTTCAGATGTTTACCAGTCACAGTACAATTTAACATATATTTATTTAAGAGCAATGTAAGGAGTGTGCGCGCGCACACACACACACACACACATTATATATGTAATGTAATATATATAAAATTATTATAAACAGGAATCCTAGGTTCTTGGGAACAACTCAATGTGTATGACGGCCAACTCCAGCTAAAGAACCGCTGGCTGTGAGACCAAACTAAAGACCAAACTGGCCTACAAGAAAGAGCAAATGAAGAATAGAAAGGAGACTTAGCAAAGCAAAGTCTTACATGGCCAATGCATTAAAAATGCAGCAGGCAAAACGGATAACGAAACCTGGCAATAATTAAGAGCAAGAAAATTGAAAAGACTAAAGTGTCAAACTAAATAAAAACATATTACTGCATCCTACTGAAAAAAAAACCACCAGGTTAAGCAATGAAGACTAAAGAACCAGATCTGTATCCTAGAATAACACAGAAGACCACAAGTCAAACTGATGGAAATTCCCATTAAAAAAAGAGAACAAAATCCCTTTTGCATTTGTAGAGCACTGTCTTTTGAATCTTAGACATCATATTAAGAAAAGGCCAAAATGGTTACATCCATGTTTAATTTGTTCATAGAAATAAACTTCTCATGGCTCTCCTGGGTCAGGTAACAGTTTGCTTAATATATATTTTAAAAAATTATGACAATACCTTCTATCACAGTCTATTCAGAGGGTATTGTTTTGATGCCACTTCGACACATTTTCCAAAACATCAGGTAGAGGTTTTTCATTGCTATGATTCTTTCCGATTACCAGCAGATGCCACAAACTGAACACATTGCAAAGCTCAGTCTGAATTCTGGCTCAGACCCAAGAATGCATCCAACCATCAGGAAAATATATCTTCCCTTCTTCCGGCTTACGAGTTTAAGCTCTTTTCTTACAAGATCTCTTTGCAAGAATATCTCCCTATTTTTACTGCCCCTCTATTGATTTCCCTTTAGAACTGTTCCCATTGAAGCTGAATGGGCAACTTCAAACCTGAGGTCCAGGTATCTTGTTCACAGAGCTTAAGTGATAACAGACTGGTCCTTCTCCACTCTTCTATACCTTCTTCTGTCCTTCTAGCTTTCTTTCACTTTTCTTGTTTGTATTTACCCTCATTTCTGCTTCTACATGTTTCCCAGCAGTTTTGGCAAAAGAGGAAAATTGCTAGCTAGCCAAAGTTGATAAGAAAGAAAGTATTCTATCCCAGGATAGAATAGAATAACAGAGTTGGAAGAGACCTTGGAGGTCTTCTGGTCCAACCCTCTGCCTAGGCAGGAAATCCTACACCACTTCAGACAAATGGTTATCCAACATCTTCTTAAAAACGTCCAGTGTTGGAGCATTCACAACTTCTAGAGGCAAGTTGTTCCACTGATTAATTGTTCTGAGGAAATTTCTCCTCAGTTCTAAGTTGCTTCTCTCCTTGATTAGTTTACACCCTTTGCTTCTTATCCTGCCTTCAGGTGCCTTGGAGAATAGTTTAATACTGCTATCATGTCTCCCCTGGTCCTTCTT